TCATGACCTGAGCCGAAGGCAGAGGCTTTAACCCACTGAGCCACCCACGTGCCCTTGGCTCTGATGTCTTAAGAAATCATTCTAATTCTGTAGGAACTGGTCTTGTCCTAACTAACAGGGGAAAATAGCAGAGATGGTGATAGAAAAATGTATCGCTTCATCTTGCTTGCTTGTCCCTGCAGCTCTTAGGCTAAAACTGAGTCTATCCCGGGGCCAGGGCTGTTGGCTTTGCCCATCGTGCTTGTGTACAGACAGCTGGGTGCTGGACTCTGGGCTGAGGTCTTACACACCTTCCCTCTGCTGACCCTCCACCAACCCTGTTAGGTACATAATATTAGGGTCCTGTTTCAAAGAGGATTTTCTGGGGATCCTGCATGGCTCAGTCGGTCGAGCATCCCACTCTTGACCTCAGCTCAGGTCTTGATCTCAGGGTTGTGAGTTTGAGCCCCATGTTCCACACTGGACATGGACCCTACTATGTAATTTGGAGGACTTTTCAAGGGACACACCATTTGAGAAACACTCTGACCCCACGGGAACCTTCAGTTGGGAACCTGAGGGGTGGACCTGAACTATTTTCCTGCTTCTGAGATCCTCAGACCATTTTCTGGGAACATGTGAGTGTTGCTAGAGCCGACCCTTGGTTCCTGGTCCTCTGAAAGGATGGTTTCACTAGTGGTCTGAGGGCGGAGAAGGAAGTTCCGTCACCTGGCAAGTGACTTTTCCTTTTCTTCCTGATTCTTTTCCAAGTGGCCTTTTTACGTGTCCTGATCCCACCGCCCCCTACAGCGTTCTATACCTTGCGAGGTATTCCTTGGTAACAGACCAAAGACACATCTGGACTCAGGAACGTGGAAATTGCTGTCCACCCCAATCCTATTACAGTTCTGGGATTTCCCCGGGGCACCACGAGCACACACACATCAATATTTAATCTGGGATTTTCTTTGTATTTTTTTCTGCTGTAAACATTTCTCATGTTAGTAATAGTTCCTAATCTGGTTTTCCAGACAATCGAGGTAGTTTTGAAATAACAATTAGAAAAAAAAGTACGGGATGCCTGGCCAGCCCAGTCGGTGGAGCGTGTGACTCTTGACCTTGGGGTTGTGCGTTTGAGCCCCATGTTGGGTGCAGAGATTACTCAAAAATAAAATCTTAGGGGTGCCTGGGTGGCTCAGTGGGTTAAGCCTCTGTCTTTGTCTCAGGACATGATCTCAGGGTCCCGGAATCAAGTGCCATATCGGGCTCTCTGCTCAGCGAGGATTCTGTTTCTCCCTCTTCCTCTGCCCCTCCCCCTGCTTGTGCTCCCTTGCTTTTTCCAATAAATAAATAAAATCTTTTTAAAAATCTTTCAAAAAAAGAAAGAAAAGAAAAAAACCCACACAACCAGTTAATCACAGGGAAATTTGTCTTGAATTACAGTATTTTCTATCGTGTGCTAATTCTCTGGGTTCCCAGGAGAGCTTCCTTTTAATCCTTTATTCAGAAATGATAAGTGCTTTCCTGGGCTTTTGGAATTCTGACCCCCTGGAGGTGAAGGACGCCCTTTAACAGGTGAGGTTCCTGTGGGGTGTCAGTGACAGGTCACCGCGAGTGCGTGGCTGGGCGGGTCTGGTCCTGGCTCAGCTGTGTCACTGTGCTCGCTTTCAGCAAACCCACTTTGACTCTCTGGGCCTCATTTCTTTGTGTCTAAGTGGGCTCTGGCCTGAAAGACCTTGAATTGGTTTTATCCAGCAGTCAGTGTTGGTTGGATCTGTTCTGACCTCATTAAGGTTACATGACCTTGGCCGGGGTCATGCAAGCCCGGTCATTATCTAACGAGCTCTGCCACTTCCTAGTCAGGAAAATGTCCCCCAGTTTTAATTTTTCTTTGTCTTGGACGTGCTGCCTGTGATTGGACACCTGGTCACAACACACTCCTAGCAGTTTGTGCAATGATTTCTTATTTTAAATCTGCTGTGTCTTATTGATTAAAAATAAGTTCCCACTGAATTGGAGACTCTCTGTAGACCAGATGGCCAGTGCAGATTCCAAAGGCGGTGAGAAGAATTCTCTCTTATTTACTAGTTGAGAAAACCCTCCTTCCTGCCGTAGGTGAGATACGTAAGGTTAAGAAGAGGATAGGATAGCAATTTGCCCTCATTTTCCAAGAAGAATTGCATGGTGTGCATTTTCCCAGCACGACGTTAGTCCATGCACACGTGTCTGGAACTTCTGGGGGCCTCCACTCTGACCATCCCCGCGGGACTCGCCTTCCAGGGCCCCACTGTTGAAGTCAAGGGGACAGTCCTTCAAAGCACGTGTGGTTATGTGTGTGACTGTTCTGAGATGCGTCTTGGCATTTTCCGCTGAGGTCACTGCTCTGACGGATGGTATTGTTTATGTATTTTACGTCTGTTGTCTGCTAGCGGTGAGATTACTCAAAGCGAAAATAAACCCAGAGGCAACTAAAAACACTCAAGGGCTTATTTCTCCCAAATGTGACAAAGGGAAGGGATACTGTGTTTAAAACCTTAGGAGAGAAGACTGTGAACATCCTAATTGAAAATGGGACAGAGGCTTAAATATCCAGCTCCTTGCAGACTTCCTCCTCACGGCAGACCATTACTGCCTCCCCCAACACTGCCCCCTGGGGAAAGGGCTCTCTGGCCTCTGTCCTGGTGTCCACGGGGCCTCAGAGCCACCCCATGTCCCTGCACACGTGTCTTGCTGTCCTGGGTGGAGACTCCCTTCCCACCGCTACCCTAGATGTCTTGCATTATTCCCTCTCCCCAAAGTCCCTGTCTTCACACCTGAGATTTGTCCTATGAGGTGTGCAAGATGCGCCGACATGGAAATCACCTCCTGGTGAGCCCTTTGCTGTCTCTAGGAATTGGGTCAACCTTGGAGGGAGTTGGCAGCAGTCAGCAAGGCCTGGGGGTCAAAGCCTCAGAGATACAGAGAATAAAAGGGGTGTGACATCACACTCCCCAGGGGGTTCTTTCGAGATCCTCTCAGTCCCCTTCCAAGGGGATGTGTGTCTCCACCTCTCTATCTCCAAAGCCTGGTTGTCCCCTTCCACCCCATGCTCCTGAACCCCGCCTACACTCCACAGCCAGAGGGCTCTTCTGGAATTGAAAGGAGACCCTGTCGTCCCTGGCGATGCCCGTCCCAGGATGTGCTGTGTGGCAATTGCCAAGTAAACCAGATGGGGAACCGCTAATACACAGACACAGGGTTGAGCATCACGGATGATGGACTGAGGACAGCTGTCTCCTGGAGATTTTTGTAAAATGATCATTTCCCTTCGGGACTAAGGTCGCGGAGAGAGGGCTCTGCAGGGTCGGTGGTGGAGGCCTAAACACGTGCCAGGCTGGTCGGGAGCGCGTTCGCGCTGGGTCTCGAGAACCTGAGAAACGCCCAAGAAGTGGGACCGTGTGTGAAGTGATCTTGTGATATTCGTTCCACTTATTTAAAGTTCGTCTAGGTTCCAGGCTGCGGATGGCCGTCACGAGAAGGTCAACGACCTGGCCTTCCTGGAAGAGATACAGGACCTTGCCGAGGAAATTTGTGAAATCCTGGACAAGGCAAAAATCCTACAGGAACTGTGGGCAGGAAGATCCAAGGCTCCAGGCAAGTCAGTCTCTACCCGGACACGGGCTCACGGAGGCCGAGCACCCAGGAGGTCCTTCACGTCCTGTTTACGCCTGAGTTTGCCTCATGGCATCAGGTTGTGGGGTTGTGGGAAAGAGGTCGCTCTCCGTGCGGGAGGCCCGGCACCCGGGGCTCGTTGGGAGGCCTCGTGTCTACCACTTCCCGGGAAGGCGCCCTGAGCAGGTGCAGCCCTTGGAGGGGTTACAGGCCGTCCTTGCCGTCTCCCTGCATGTCCCCTGCACACAAGCACGTGCACAGGTTCTCCTGATTCGTCCCCCTCCCTCGGGCTGAGCTGGGTGGGTCTTTGAACACAGTGATGCTTTAAGGTCCTGGAGGGTTATCTTGCTTGACAGACCTTTCGCGTTATGGGGCCAGATAGGTCTGCGCCTTACGAAGCGTGTCTATGTCCTTGGAGGCCCTGACTTTTATTTATCAATCAGTGACAGAGATGGAGGATCAGATACGGAGATGCTGGAGCCTGGACCACCAGCAGGGAGGCGTGGGCCATGAGAGGCCGCCCCTCTCCTGCCCCTAAGCCCGCCGTGATTGTCAGCTTGAGCAGCGAGCTGGAGCCCCCGCCCGCCTACCCCACCCCGCTCCCTTAAATAGTATCCCGCCCTCCACTATTCAATTTTAGCTGAACTAAATTTGAGTTTCAGGGAAACAGTGAACAGGCTTTTAGGATAAGCCTGTCTCCAAGATTATGTACTTAGAGTGAAAAGTATCCGTTGTTTACCTGAAATTCAAGTTGACCGGCACCCCCGGGTTTTCACTGGTGAAGTCTGGAGACCCTCAGTACCCGCCTCCAGGGCTTCTCTTTATAGAATTGGTATCTTCTCACGGATGATATATGAGGGGACGGGATCAAGAGCATGACTGGAGAACGGACAGTGAGGTGATACCGTGTGCTATTTCTGAGAGAGAAAGCAGCCCTCGTCCAGGGCCGGGCAAGGCCATGCAGGTTTCACAACGGACCCAAACGCGTCAGCAGGGACCAGAGCCCTTCAGAGACCAAGTGATGGCGTTCTTCTATTAGGAAGTGTCACGAGATCATTCTGCTTTTATAAAATGTGCTGTTCAAATGAGGTGTTCCGTATTCTGGAAACAGAGATCTGTTTTTTTTTTTTTTTTTTTTAAAGTAGGCTCCATGCCCAGAGTGGGACCTAGTGCAGGGCTTGAACTCACCACCCCCTGAGCTCAAGACCTGAGGCGAGATCAAGAGTCCAATGCTCGACTGACTGAGCCACCCAAGCGCTCCAAGAACTAGTTTTTTTATTTTTTTTTTTTACAAGAATTTCTACCTCCACTTTGTTTCCAGTTCCTTGCTGTTTGAGCCACTTTTCATGGTGGATGCACCCGCCAGAGAAAACCTGTGCCTTCATAGGTGACACTTCCCAACACGGGCATGTGGGCCTGTCACTCCAGGGGGATTCCAGGGGTGTCCTATCATTTAATTCAGTTCTGACACAACCACCTGGCGTGACTCACACCCCATGGGTAGGGGCTCCATCTCCCGACCGCCCCACTTCAGACCCCCAATTCCAAGTCTTGGGTCCCAGGCACCCAGTTTTGTTCGATTTGACTATAAACTGGAGGTTCCCACGACCCCCTCCTAGGGTTTGATTAATTTGCTAGAACGGCCCATAGAACTCTAGCTGGCTTACGCTTTTTTTTTTTTTTAAAGATTTTATTTATTTGTCAGAGAGAGAGAGAGAGAGGGAGAGAGCACAAGTGGGAGGTGGGGGGTACAAGCAGACTCCCCACTGAGCAGGGAGCCTGATGCAGGACTCAATCCCAGGACCCTGGGATCATGACTTGAGCCGAAGGCAGAGGCTTTAACGGCTGAGCCAAACAGGTGTCCCTTTACTGTTTTTTAATATTATAAAGGGTTCAGAGGGACCCTCGAATGAAGTATATAGGAAGAGGCCCAGAAGGGTCTTCTGTCTCTGTTGAACTGGGGTGGGCCACCTCCCAGCATGTCGATATGTTTACTAACCTGAAGCATTCCGAACCCCATCTTTTGGGGTTTTTCTGGTGGTTCTGGTGGTACATCAGGTTGGTGTACCTGATGAACTCAGTGGTCATTGGTGATTAGCTCAGTCTCCAGCCCTCTCCCCACCTTGGATGTCAAGGGAGTGGGGCCGAAAAAGTCCCAGCTGTCGAATCATGGTCTTTCTGGGGGTATCGGCCCCCTCTGGCCCTATGCCGGGGGCGGGGGCAGCCCTCAGGCATCTCATTAGCACACAAAACACTCTTATGGTTCCAGAAATTCCCAAAGTTTTACGGGCTCTCGTGTCAAGGGCTGGGGACCAAGACCCGGTATAACAAAGAATGCTCCTGTCACTGCATCACCCCAGAAATGCGAGGGCAGAGACCGGTCTGTGCCTCTCTTACCGTGTCCCACTGTGACTCCACAGAGAATCTGAAAAAACCATAACTTTGTTCTTCTTGGCCTCTTTGAGTTTTTTTCTTTTTCTTTCTTGTCCTGAGTACTCACAATGCCTGTGGCATCAGAAATTGATAGAGTAATCAATACTTTGTTGGCCCATGACTGAGGTTTGCTTGACCCGTTGAGTCATTTCCTAGGTACCCAATCAATTCTCTCTTGCTTTGCAAATCCACAGTGACTGTGTCCTTCAGACTTGCTCCCCTGTGTGGGTGTCCTCGAGGTTGGGGCCAGGATTCGTGATAGCCGCCTTGGTTTTAGAACTAGAACAGGGCTGGCCAACGCTTGGCTGCTCTCCGAACTAACACCTGAAATCTCTTTTATTGCAGATTCTTCTCCAAGCTCCAGTTTCTTAGCCGTAAGTATCTTAACAAACATTTGAAGCTTAGTCTCCAGAGACCTGGTGGTTAAGTTCAAAGCACTGGTTTTTATTTTATTTTTCAAATACTTTTCCTTTACATCATCTCCACACCCAACGTGGGGCTTGAACTCATGACCGTAAGATCAAGAGTTGCGTGTTCCATCAGCTGAACCGGCCAGGGGTCCCTAAACTCTTCTTTCCAATGGTGTGTTTTCAGCAGCACTGTATTTGAGACAGCCAGAGTCCCTCAAGACATGGGTTGCAAGCCGCAGTTTAATTTTCTCAAGCGAGACTCTGGGCTGGGCCTTCTAAGGGCTGGAACCCCGGGCACGGGGCCCCAGAGTCCAGACCTGGGCCTGTCCTCCCAGAGATGCCACTGGGGGTTGGGTTGTGACTCCCCTGAGGGAGCGCGCTGGCTCAGGAATGTTCTGGAGGCCCCTGCTCGGTGTTCGCTTTGCCATAGCTAGTGTGTGGTGAGAAAAGCTCAGGCATCTAGAATGTTCCAGAGTCTCTGTACTACATGCCGGCACAGGTGGGTGGGTGCCTTCTGACCAAGCCGGTCATGCTGTTGGAAGATGCATTTTCTTCCCCTTTTTCCCACACACCCCATCTCAGTCCTGCCTGGCACCCGACCTTCCCTGCTCTGCTTACTGCTTGTGTTTAAAGCAGCTGGTTTATAGCTTCAGTGAGATGGAGTCAGTCCCCCCTTTCCCACACACATTTGCCCAGGGAGGAAGCCCTTCCCACTCTACCCACTGAAACACACACGTTAAATTCTTAACCTCCAGTCTCACTCTTTTTTTAAAAGATTTTATTTATTTATTTGACAGAGAGAAAGATCACAGGTAGGCAGAGAGGCAGGCAGAGAGAGAGGGGGAAGCAGGCTTCCTGCTGAGCAGAGAGCCCGATGCAGGGCTCGATCCCAAGACCCTGAGATCAGAAAGCAGAAAGCAGAGGCTTAACCCACTGAGCCACCCAGGTGCCCCTCCAGTCTCACTTTTTAAATTTATTTTATTTTTAAAAAATTAAAAAAAAATTCTGTTTATTTGTTTGAGCAAGCATGAACAGGGGGCAGAGGGAGAAGCAGGCTCCCCACTGAGCAGGGAGCCCAATGCAGGACTCAATTCCAAGACCCTGGGATCATGACCTGAGCTGAAGGCAGACGCTTAACATCTGAGCCCTCCAGGCACCCCCAGTCTCATTTTTTGTAAAAGTTGAAGTTAGTTTATTTGCCTGTTTATTTATTTATTTCTAATCTCTATACCCCATCCTGGGGCTTGAACTCATGACCCCTGAGATCAGGAGTTGCCTGGTCTTCCAACTGGGCCAGCCCGGTGCCCCTCATTTTTTTTTTTTTTTTAAATCCCAGAGAAAGAAATCTGGTCTGTAGTTTCTTATTCCCTGGCTGTATTGCTGGGATGTTCTTTTAGCTGTGATTTTTTATTTTCCTTCCTCCAGACCAAGGCTGTATGGTTGGGCCATGACACACAGTGGTGGGGGAGGGCGGGATGGGGATCTTGTGCAGAGGGAGTCTGGGATTTAATTATTCACGCTGCGCTTCCGTTAAAGTTGTGTTCTGCTGCAGTAAAAGAAAACCCTCAAATAAGAGCGGGGGGTCCATTTCCATTTCTATCTGAACAACTAATCATTTATTTCCAAGTCTCAAGATCATCGATGATGACGTAGCTTGTGACAAAACCAGACCCGTATCTCTCTGTCTCTGTGAAGTCCACAGCCTCCCAATATTTAAAATCCCAGCCCAAAGGGATAATCTTCAAACCTCGTCTGTTCAAAGCGGTGGCGTGCCAGGCCCACGTCTCCATCTGCTGAGGTTCTGGAAGCCAACCCAGCCCCACTGCTTCTTCAGTCGTGAACGACACGGAAGGGGGAACTCTCGGTACTTTTTCCTCACAGATGGATCTCAATAAGACCGAGGAGGTGATCTCGAAACTGGAAAAGCTCCACCAGCAGCCCCACATCTGGAAGTTTCTACTTCTTCTGCCAAGATTGTACACAAACAGCGTCCGCGTGGAAGACCGTCTCCGTGGCGGGGCACTCCTCCTCCAGGCGGCTTTGAAGTAAGTGCAAAAGAGAAATCTGACCCATGATAGGTGTGTTGGCTTTCTTCTCCTCGCTCTTTCATGGGGACATCTGTGTGTCTGGCTGATCTCTTGTTCCATTCCAGAAAGTGATTGGGAATCACGGCACCCTGAGATGGCTTTCCGTGTCCGTTCCTCGTCTACCGGTGCGGATATTTTATACAAGGGCGGTCATATGGTCCAGATTCTGGCAACTTAACATTTCATCATTAACTTTTCATACGTTCCCGTTGTCTTCAAGCGATCGTTTTTATTATGGTGATTGTTTTTAAAGATTTTCATTCTAAGTAACCTCTGCCCAACGTGGGGCTTGAACTCACAGTGCTGTGGGCAGGAGTCCCCTGCTCCCCCCATCTGGGCCAGTCAGGCGCCCCTTCAAATGATCATTTTTAATGGTTGCTATTTGATTTTTGAGATTTTTCTTATTTACTTGAGAGAGAGCAAGAGTGAGTGAGAGAGAGAGAGAGAGAGATTGAGCATGAGTCGGGGGAGGGGCAGGGGCAGAGGAGAAGCAGGCTCCCCACCGAGCAGAGAGCCCAATGTGGGGCTCAATCCCAGGACCCTGAGACCATGACCTGAGCTGAAGGTAGAGGCTCCACAGGCTGAGCCCCCGAGGTGCCCGAGTTCAGAAAATTCTAAATGTGAACATGACTTTCCACGTTCCCATGAAGGCCTATCAGTCAACGGAGGACAATGGGGCATGTTTTGACCGTCTGTGGGTCTGATTGACAAGTCATATATTTGAATATAGTGGGTGCGTTTTCGCAGGTGCCCTTGTTCTCTGGGCCCTGAATGTGTTAGTGTGGGCAGTGACTGGGCCCTCCGGAGAGAGACAGAGTTTGAGATCAGAGCGCATCGCTGATGCTTGCTGAACCATATCAGCTCCGGTGTTCATCTTATTTCCGTATTCCGCTTCGGTGACGCAAGGTGCCCCTGACATCCTGAGATGCATGGGTTCACACAGTGAGGGGGTTGGGGTGCTCGCTATTCTAGGAGGGGACCTCCAGAGTTCAGACTGATGACCTGAGCTTGAAACAGTGAGGGTGTCTGACCACGTGCTTTTTAGAGGTGATGACACCTTGCACCCCGGCTGGCCTTGCCGGCTGTCGGAAGCATCGGTCCCTAGTCCAGGGAGTCAGGGCCACATTTGAAGCCACGTTGAGAGCTGATAAGTCCATGGTCTGTCCACAACCTGCAAAGGGCTGGGACCTGGCTGCCGGGTCACCAGTAAATCTGCGTCCGTTGCCCTCAGTCTGCAAAGCCCACTCAGTTTACTTTGGTTTTCTTTTGGTTCCAGTTCCTTGACAGCTTTGGAAGATTTAGACTGGCTGCCCCTCAACCACACTTTCTCCACGGTTTCTGAAATCGTGCTGAACGTGACCATTTCGACGCTGACATTTCTGCAGGAGCACGGGATGGCTGCCGCTGGTATGTGTACCTGAGAGCTCATTTGGGATTTCATGTGTTTCCCTGGTCACGTTCATCAATAGCCACCGCAGAGCTCCAAAGCTGTTCAAAAATGATTTAATCAAAATGTCAAATGCCAAAAGGAAACCATGGTTCCTGTTTCTAAAAGGTGGAAGTAGACTGAAAATTTGAAATTCAAACCTGAATTTGACTTTCTACTGTTATTGAAACTCTGTGGCCACTGCTCATAAATGGGTTATTTTTAATTAAAAAATGACTGATTTTAAAATTCTTTTATTGGATGTCCTTGAAGGTTAGACCTCTCATTGGTTCTGTGATTTGAATCTTTCCTCTCTCCTCTGCTCCTATTTGGAGAAAAAAAATATTTGAAAAATAGAAAGGCAGATGGATGTAGACTTGGAAAGCCCAAAGAGACAAACCCTGTTAATATGTTTTTTAGAGTTTTATTTATTTAAGTAATCTCTACACCCAATGTGGGGCTTGAACTCATGACCCGGGATCAAGAGTCCCACATTCTTCCACTGAGCAAGCCAGGCACCTTTAAAATGACATTGGTTTAAAGTGCACAATATGATGGTTTGAGACATGCATACGTTGTTGCAGTTGTTATCACAGTGGAGTTAATGAACCCATTTCTCTCCTCCCACAGTGAGTTACCTCCCCTTTGGTGAGAGCACTGAAGACATCTTAGCAAATTTCAAGCATATGATACAGTATTAGTAACTGTAGTCACCATGCTGTATATTAGATCTCTAGAACTTATTTGCCTTATAACTAAGTTTGTACCCTTTGACCAGTATCTCCCACTTTCCCAACTCTCAGCTCCCCCTTAGCCACTCTTCTACTCTCCATTCAGGGTATTATTTCTTCAATTGCCAACTGGACCTGAATGTTTTAATTCTCTCTTTCTTTTTCTCTATTTCTATCTCTTTCTGTAAGGGAAATTCAAGGGAATGGACAGTGGAGTTAGGATTCATACACCCATCTATCCATCATTCATCCATGTAATCATCCATCCACTATCCACTCACGCATCTGTCCGTCCATCCATCCATCCATCCATCCAATCATCCATCTCAATATCCATTGATTCGCCCATCCATCCACCTACCCACCCATCCATACATCCATCCATTCATCTATCTGCCCATACACCCACCCAGCCATCTATCTACATATCCATCTATCTATCCATTCATACACACATATATCCATTCATCCATCAATCTGTCCACTTACTCACCCATCCACACACCCATCCATAATCTATCCATTCATCTATCCACCCACCCACCCACTCATCCATCCACACATCCATCCCCACCCATCCACCAATCCATCCATCCACTCCTTCAATAAACACATACTGAGTACTTCCTATGAACCAAACATTGTCTTATGAGAGGGAATAAGAAATGGAGTAATACCTGGTTCTTGCTCTCAGGGAAGTCCTGCTTAGTACAGGAGAGAGATGCTTCAATAAAGAAAAAACAAAGCCCACGGAGTAGGGATCTGGCCTCTTAGGAAAAGCGTTGAGGAGAGGTTCTGAAAGATGAGTTCTAGTTCATCAAAGACACAAGGGAGTGCTACCAGGAAGAACTGTGCATGAAGTTCCTGGCTTTGGCAAGAGCCGCGTGTGTTTTATGCCCTTTGTGTTTGGGTCAGTGGGCTATGGCAGGGGGTAATCCAGAAAGCGATCCTGACCCAGATCACAGAAGAATGCTGGGGCAGCTTTTGGACCAGCATTGTGGACAGAAGTTCCTGGCACAGATGTGAGGGCTAGACTGGGGGGCAGGCAGGCAGACCTGGGGCCAGGAGCCCAGGACCATGTTCTCTGCCTGCTGCTACCTCTTGAAGTCTGTCTCCTGACCTATGTCAAGAGGTGGTTATCCACAGATTTCTACCCCTTCCAGACTTTTCTGTTTCCTTGGAACAACCTGATGTGACACCCTCTATCCCCCCAGTCACACTCAGGTTCTTCTTTTTTCTGGTGACTTAGCATAGGGAGGAGTTCATCCTGGGAAGGAGAGCCCCTGCCCTCTGGGATCTACAAGAGGAAAGACTAGTCATTAATGTTGAATTTGCTTCTCCTCCGGGTGATTCCAGTGACCAGCCATCCTTACCCTCAGAATGGAACCTCCCTGGTGATGTCTGTGGTGACAAGACTCATCAGGAAGCTCAAGAATTCATACATGATCCAAATTACAACAATCTATTCACCTTATAACTGGAACTATAAGTACAGCTAAGAATGTCATTAAAATAAGCTATTTTTTCAGTTGCCAGGGAGTCAGAGCTGAGGAACATTATGACAAAGCACCTCAAGGTGACTAAAAATTATCCTTGTTTCTTTTGTGTCCAAGAAAAGTCCCTTTGGCTAATGAGCAGATCACGGTGTGGGAAGGGGAGGGATGTGCCCTGTCAGTGACTTGGGGTCAAGGGCCCAGGTACGTGCTTCACTGAACTTGTGAATTCCTGTGATCTGAGCTCTGCTGTCCAGCAGCGAGTGTCAAGCCCTATGTTTCTCATTGCTCTAGAATGATGATGATGATGATGATGATGATTTAATTTTATTTTATTTTTTTCAGTGTTCCAAGATTCATTGTTTGATTTTTTAAAAAAGATTTTATTTATTTGACAGAGAGAGGGACAGTGAGAGAGGGAACACAAGCAGGGGGAGCAGCAGACAGAGGAAGAAGGGAGCCCAATGCTGGGCTCGATCCCAGGACTCTGGGATCGTGACCTGAGCTGAAGGCAGACGCTTAATGACTGAGCCACCCAGATGCCCCTAGAATGATTTTATAGTTTGATACCCCCCAGTGACTGGTGTCACTGTTTTCCCCTCCTTTCTGGAATTCTGTGCATAATCTTGATATGTTCTGAGAGCAGCAGAGTTTAACAGTTACCACGCAGGGTCAGGGCTCAGATCTGGGTTTGAGTCATGACTAAAGCCAGAGCTGTGACATCATATGACTCACAGTCTGCTTCTTTCTCCCCCAGAAGAGGGTAATTATTACACCTACCTGGTGTGCTGTGGGGAACTCAGCAAGACCTGTCCAGGAAAAGTCCTAGCCTAGGGACTGCCTCTTTGACACACAATAAAAGCCAGCTTAAAATCTCAGAACCAGGAGCCCTGGGGTGGCTCAGTCCATTGAGTTTCTGACTCTTGGTTTTGGCTTAGGTGCTGATCTCGAGATCTTGCAATCGAGCCCTACGTTGGGCTCTGCATTCAGTGCGAGGTCCGCTTAGGATTCTCTCTCCCTCTGCCCCTCCCCACCAGTAAATAAATAAATAAATAAATAAATGTTAAAATTAAAATAAAACCATAGAACCAGACTTTGTCCCGTTTATGCATAGACAGCTAGACTAATAGCAAGGGGTCTCAGATTTCTGGGATCTGCCCCATCTTCGACGCCTTCCTAAAGTCCCCCATAGCTGGGCCTTTTGTAAGTGTCAGAACTATGTCCTTCCTGGAGAACCACAGTATTAATTTAGAGGTACTGAGAGAGGGTGCCTGGGGAGCTCAGTCGATGAAGCACCTGCCTTTGGCTCAGGTCATGATCCCGGGGTCCTGGGATAGAGCCCTATGTTGGGCTTCCTGCTCGGTGAGGAGCCTGCTTCTCCTTCTCCCTCTGCCTGCTGCTCCCCCTGCTTGCGTTTTCTCTGTCTCTCTCTCTCTCTCAAGTAAATAAATAAAAACTTAGAAAAAAATAGGGGTACCGAGAGGTCACCCAAGTGAGAATGGTTTTGTGGTCCTTTGCACGTGTGGACGCCTAGGAGAGGCTTGTGGTTCATGATCTGAACACTGTCTCACCACTGGGATTTCAGAGGAAGGCTCACCTTGGAATTTATAAGCTTTTAGGTTTGCAATCGCCAGGCCACGGTCACAGAAATTATGTCAAACCTTGGGGGAGGGGGGTTTGGAATTATATTCTTCACATGCCGTTTCCAGGGAGCGTTGCTGGGTCCTTTGGGTCCCAATGAGTTTTATACCTTGATTAATTCTTTTAAGGGAACTTTTATCTGTGACCTTCACTAGTTTTCAAGAATGCCGGTTTTATTTTTATTTTTTAAAAGGTATTTTATTTTACTTATTTATTTGAGAGAGAGGTAGAGCAGGGGGAGGACCAGAGGGAGCGGGACCAGCAAACTCATCGCAGAGCACGGAGGTGACTCAGGGCTCGATCCCTTGGCCCTGAGATCCTGACCTGAACTGAAATCAAGGGCCAAATGCTCAATTGACCGAGCGACCCAGGCGCCCCAGAAATGTCGTTTTAAAGAGGGCGGTATTTTCTGCTGTGAATTTACTGCCATTTATCCTTTCCCCCCATGCTAGACGCTTCGCAGGTTTTAGTACTGACTCAGTGTAAGACCAGTGCCATAGCGTTGTGTCGTACGTTACTTCGTCTTCATGCATCTGGTTAGGCTTCTTGAGAAGGATTTTTTAGAAGTGTAATTATTGGACTCAGTCATTGGAATTTCATAAAGCTCTTGAAATATTTTGTCATATTCCTTCTGGAAACTCTGCGGTCATGAATACGAGGGCCGTGGGCCATCCTACCAAGCTGTGAGGCATCCCGTGGTGGCTTCTGTTTGCTTCTCCGACCTGATGGCCTGGAGAGCATTTGGTCTCCACTTGCTTCTCCTGGTGGAGTGAACGAGGAGCCACTCTCTGAATCGTGCGTCGCACTGTTGTTGCCTTAACTGACTCACTATTGTCCCCTTAACTTAAACATATTACACATTATTGTCACTCTTTGGTTGCCTTGCAGGGTCCAGATACAACCTGTCCCTGCGGGAGCTGGTGTGGGACCCACAGAAGGTCCAGGCTGACCTCAAATCCCGATTTGGCTTTGATGACCTTCATGCAGAACAAATCCTGAATTACTCCGCGGAATTTCAGGAGGTATGCTCGCTTGAGGCTTCTCACACTGTGGGGTTTCCCCTCGAGAGTGTTCCTCTGAGGGTGCTCCCGGGGCGGGTGGGCGATGGGATGGGAGACGCAGCAGGACAGGGAGTCCTCCGTGAGCATCGGAGCCGCTTGGATCGGTCTGGCCCTTCTAGAAGTCTCCCTTCCTCTTACCTGGTCATTGTATCCCAGCCCCAGAGGTGGTTTGGAAGTAACAGAATAATTAGTCATAGCCATTCTCTCTCTCGGCCCCTACAAGGGGTCGGGACGGGAGCGAGGGGCAGGAGCTGGGGGGCTCACCAGATAGGAGCCTCCCTTTTTAAACTGTATAAACTAAAGGGGTTGGAAGAGCTAAGCCCTGGTGACCCAGCTCTCCACTGCTACCCCTGAGGTTCTAGAAGGCTCTCTATCTGCGCCTTCCCTTTGTCACTCCCGTGTGTTTGCCGGCACTCCTGCTTTGCACAGGGCAGGGTCTGAAAACCATACACCTGTCTCCGTTGGCTGCATGGATCCCTCCAGGATGAGGGCCTTGCTGGTCGGGGTCGAGGGGCTGGACGTTCGGACAAAACCTGCACTCTTTGGCTTGGGTCTTCTTCTGTGCTCAGGGCATGGGTTTTGCTCACTTCTCCGAGCACTTCCCGGCTGACACTTCTCACATTCTCACAGCCACTATGTGCATGTGGACAGTTGCTTTTCACTTCTAGGTTACCGATCGGTGCCGTGAGTCTGGGGGTCAGCCACTGGTCTCTGCCAGATGCTGCTGCTAACAGCTGTGTGTCTGGAAAATTCCTTCTGCGGGTGGGTCTCAGGCTTGGCCAGGATGGGTGGGTTTCTGGGCTCCTCCTGCACCTGGCACCAGTTCATTAACCGCTGACCTCCCGTGGGACTTGGAATTGGGCCCCGTGGCATCTGTCGTGGGCACGGGGGAAAGCCAGGGGGCTGATGCTACTCTGCTTTCTCTAGACTCAGGACCCTGCTTTCTCATTATTTTAGAATATAGTTTGTGTCACATTACACAGAACCTTTATTTTAGAATGTTAAGTATTTCAAGATTAGAATTCCAGGGAGGCCTGGGTGGCTCAGTGGGTTAAGCGTCTGCCTTTGGCTCAGGTCATGATCCCAGGGTCCTGGGATCAAGTCCCACATCGGGCTCTCTGCCTGGTGGGGAGCTTGATTCTCCCTCTGCCTCTGCTGCTCCCCCTGCTTCTGCACATGCTCTGTCTCTAGCTCCCTCTGTCAAATACATAAATAAAATCTTAAAAAAGATTAGAATTACAAGGGCGATGGTTGGGAAGGGCACAGAGCATATGTCACAGGTCTGAGGCTCCCCTGGCTGCTGGGACACATTTCTGTCAGCCTGGTGGTCCCACATAACACACAGTTACCACGGCACAGCTCTGTAAGTTGGACGTCCCAAATGGGTGTCCGGGGGCTCAAATCAGGGTGTCTGTGTTCCTCTGTAGGCTCCAGGGAGTGTGCTCTCCTTCCCTTCTTAGCTTCTAGAAGCTGCTGCATGCCGTGGCTCCGGGCCCCTCTCCCCTCAGGGCAGTGGTGATGGGGTGTTTTCTCATAATGCGTTTGCCTTCCCCTCCCACGTGTAAGGAGCCCTGTGATTTCAGTGGCCTCAGTTCATAATCCAGGGTGGTCTCCCCCTCTCAGAGTCTGCTGGTCAACAACCATAATTTCACCTGCTGAGGGAAAACCTACTCATAGGCTCTGGGGATTCGGAGGTGAGCACCTTGGGGCACCATCACCCTGCCCCCCACCCGCATGAGGCCCCTCGCCATCCAGCATTCGCAGAGCCTCCCAGGGCCTCCCCTGGTCCCATCTGACTGTGGGCACTGCCACGCTGGGCCTTTGCATGTGCTGCCCCTGGAAGAGAGGAATCTCTCCCGCTTCCGTTCTCCACTGCCCACCGAGAAGACAGATACATCACGGCTCATGTCCCCGTGGGATCCCCATGTCCTCCCTCCCGCCTGACCCATCACGAGGCCATTGCAGGGAACCTGACCGAGCCGTGTCCATGTCTCAGAGACCATGTGAGTCCTGTGGGAAGGGACGGGGCCATGTTTCCCTCACGGGATACCATGGCTTTGTGATAGTCACCAGTGAGTGTCAGTTCTCTGCGTCCCGAAGGAAGCTTCCAGGGAGGCTGTGGGGCATTAATGCCTTTTGGCTGTCGCCAAAGGTTCTGGAACATGGTGCGCAGTTACTGTAAATCCACGTAACGGGAACGTGGCTTGTTCCCACGTACATGGAAGTGGTTTTATGGAGCTACAGGAGAAGAACTGTGTGTAGAAGCTCATGTACTGAGATAAGGGAGATTTGGGTCCAAAATGTCAAACCGTTTCTGACCCACAAGTCCAGTGTGACTTGTCTCGGTTTTGTCCGCCTTTGGTAACTGGAAGAGAAAATGTTTCTGGCAAAGCTGCTTTGGGGGTGCCCGGTGCCAGGTGAACGGGGCTGGCCCGCTGTCTGCTTTCGGCCAGAGAGTAAAAAAGCCGTATTTGATTCATCCCGTGTCCTCGACCCGGAGAAACTGCTGTTTCCACTCTTGCAGACGATCCTGAAACAAGTCATTCCAGAAGGCGTCCCTCTACTGACCACACAAGCGACCCTTTATCAGCCTGTTCCTTCTCCCATCAAGCAAAGCCCCGAGCTCTTTCTTTGCCGAGGTTGTGGTATTATTCTCAGAAGGGAACATTCTGGAAAAAAGCAGGCTTGTAACGATGTTCCCTTTCGTTGGCAGATTCCCACAAAGGCGGCTTTGGAGCGGATGGTATGTTCTGTCTTGTCCCGGACTTCCAAGGGCGAAGCTGTCCCAGAGGGTCACCCCGCAGACTGTCCCCCGCGCTGGTCTGAGGCCACAGACTACCTGGTGCACGCGGTCAGCTGGTTGCAAGCGTCCAAGCAGGTGCCGTCCGCAGAGACGCGCTCAGTGTGTCCGCACCCATCTCTTTCCTCTCCGTCTCTCAGATTCTGATTTTATTGATTTTTATGACATTTGATTTCTTTTTGGGAATGCAGGTAACACAGGGCGTAAGTGTGCTCCGTGGTATTGGACGAGGGTTCTGTGCAGCTACAAAGCTGAGAATCCGTTCCCTTTCCCTGCACTCTGTTCCCTGTTTCCTTGCTGTCCTTTCCAGGGACGAGCCCCGGGAGCCCCACGTCCTGCCCACTAGGTGCCCTTCTCCTGCGTGTGTCTGCCGGCCTCCACTCACTGGGGCCTCACCGCACATGTCCCCAGAAAGCCTGTCTTACACTGAGACGCACACGTGGCCGTGACAAGAGCCGTAGTGTGTTTTTGGCATGTGGGGTTTCCACAGGGCTCCTTGGATGACCACCTTGGACATTCGAAGCAGGGGTCTAGCCCCCTGGAGCTCTTGAGGTGGGGGGTGCCACTCAGCCTTTCCTTTCACTCTGGCTTTGACGAGAAGCATCTTACTTGAACCGTAACCAATTTAAGGGAAACTGAGAAAGGTGCTGTTACCCGCTTTCATGGGCGAGTGTGGAGCCCGACACGGGGCCTGACCTCACAACCTCGAGATCACGACGTGAACCAAAACCGAGAGTCGGATGCTCCACCGACCGAGCCCCCCAGACACCCCCGCCTTCTCTTTTGCAAGTGGCACTGGGGCAAAGGGAAGAGAAAAGGGAGCCCAATGGAAACGCTGCATGCAGCTGTTGATGCCATTTCTAATCTTTAGTTTCTGAGTAGAAATTAAATCCTACGGCACGTGACAGACCTTTCAATCTGGCAACATCATAAACACGGGCCATCCGTCCTCTAGAAGACTCTGTTACTGTATCCCACGCACACGCTCTCCTGTCTACTGGTTATGGTTCATAACACTGTTTCCGTTTCTACGCGTGCAGGTGCTCCCTGGTGTTCTCCAGCAGGTGCTCGCTGGGGCCGCCCGCAGCCTGGAGGCTCTCCGAGGTCCGACTGTGGAGGGGCGGGAGCCGCAGCAGGTGGTGAAGGTTCTGCAGGCTCTGCTTCCCCTCCTGAGTGACAGCTTGGTGGCAGATGGCCCCGCCGGCAGCCGCCCATCTCCCAAGACGTAAGGAGTGCTTTCCTGTTTGATGACTGGTTAGGCTCGGGAGCCTGAATGTTAAGGACGCGTGATGAGACAGCGAGAGGAGAATTCATAGGACCATGGCTAGACAGTGGCTTCCTAATCAGTAGCCAGGAGATGACTCCAGGCTGGTGTCGTGGGGACCGTCCCGAATCGTTTGCCCCAAACTGATGTCTGTATTTTTTTTTTTTTTTAAGATTTTACCCATTTATTTGTCAGAGAGAGAGAGAGAGAATGAGAGCAGGAGCACGAGCAGGGGCAGAAGCAGGCTCCCCGCCAAGCAGGGAGCCTGATGCAGGACTTGATCCCAGGACCCTGAGATCATGATCTGAGCCAAGGGCAGACACTTAACCCACTGGAACACCCCCCCACCCCACCCCAGGCGTCCCCCTATGTCTGTTCAGATGAGGGCAATAACCCGGTGGGAGAGCATATCCAAGAAGGGGGTCAGCCTTCTGGATTTCAGATCTAAAACGAACAAAAGCATTGTAGAGGCACTTGCATGGAAGGAACAGTTTTCACGGTTGTTTTGGAAGTTTTGCACCATTGAATTGTTTGCAGAAGGTCTGGAAACACTTCAGAAATGGGGAAAAGTAGACCCTCTTCATTTTTGAGATAAGCCGAACGGATTCCCGAAGGGCGGTTCTGTTGCAGTATTGGGCCGTCTTCTTCAGCGGGTCCTGCCCTTGGCAGGAGCTTGGCCCCATTACATGCCTCAGGTGTAGACTCTCCTTAGAAGTGAGCAGAGAATGTCTCAGTATTGTCTCTGAAGGGGCCATTTCAAGCCATGGGCCTCGGACCGCCCGCTGTTACACAGCACGAGGGAGAATTGCATCGTTAGAATCGCACGGGGTCGGGCGTGTTCTCAGGGCACACATGACGTACATACAGGTGTGTACATAACTGGACACATTTCCAGCTCCCTCGAGTTTTCTGGAACCTGGTGAAGAAGGAGGATCTTGCTTTTCAAGGTCTAGTTTTCTGTTTTATCTTAGAGATCTCCCGGGTGCTAGCGATAGAGTAGGTCACCTCTCTGACCTTACAAACCTCCCATGCCCCTGCCACTTCTGCCTGGGCAACAGAGAGTCCCGGGTCACTCTTGCTTTCAGCTCCTCCAGGGAGCGGGGATGTGTGAGTCCCCCTTGGAGGACCAGGTGTGGCTGGCCCAGGCTTCTCTTTCCACCCACACTCAGGATGGGAAGGTCGGGGGGTCTTCCCGCAACTACTGTGTGCGCCGGGCCAGCCGTGGGGCCCTGGACCCTCCCTTTCTCCCCACACCCACCTCTGTTCGGGGATACAGGTGGCCTCTGCTTGGCCATCTGGGTAACAAGCAAGTCTGTGGCCCATGCACTTCTGGTCCCTGGGTTTCCACCACCCCATGCTGATGGCATTTCTTGATTTTCTTGGTGGCCTCCGAGTCCCTTACCAGTTATGAAGCCCTTGGTCTGCTGCTGGCTCCATGCAGGACAGCCCCCCCCAGTGGCCTTGTGTCTTCCCCTCTAAGGAAGGAAGGACCCACCCCCTCCCTTGTTATGGCCAGCAGGGAGACCCCGGGGTTGAGGACACCCCACACTTAGTGGCGGCTCACAAGTGCTACCCAGTCCCTCACGACTCCCACGTTTCACAACTCCCATGTCTCACGCCTCCCACAGCATCCGCCTCTCTCTCCTCAACTCACCGCCCCCCGGCCCTCCATCCCGCCTTTCACAGGCTCACCGATTTTCCTCCTCCGATGTCCCCTTGCACAGACCTTCCCGATCCAGTCTTGTCTTGTGAATCCTGTGTTTTCGCAGTGGCTTGTTTTCTGCATTCGGCGTGGGGGTGGCCATGGCTCAGGTCCCAGCGCTGTCCTCTGTGCTGACACCTGCTCTGGCCCCTGGGCTCGCGTCCCCTCCTGGCATCCCTCAGCGTGTCCCACTTAGCGCTCGCTGTCATCATGATTTTAGACACCGCCTGCCCGTCCTGAAGTTAGCCCTTGTTTGCCCGCGGCGCCCCCGGCTCCTCGTACCATCTACACTGCCCTTGGTGGGAAACTGTTGGCCAGAGCGCCACAGCTCATTACTTCTACCCTATTCTCGCCAATTGCTCACACCTTCTTTCTTCCAAGTCCCAACTTCCAACCGGAAGACCCACCAAGCCTTCCTTTGGGACCGAGGACACACGTCATTAGAGGCAGGGGGTGCTCGTGGTGCGCCTGTTCCTGCCTGGACCGCCCACACCAGGGTGATGAGATGCGGGAGAGGTGGGCCAGTATGGGCACGGGGCCACGTAGGGCCAGACAAGGGTCAGGTGCCACCTGTCGCTGGACCCCAGCCTCGGGTACCTTGCATCTCCTGGGTCTAGCAGCGTCTCCTGGGTCTCTCCTTCCAGCTCAATTTCTCTTCCTGGGCAGGAGAGTCCCTGTGCTTGCAGGGATGCCCGAGGGTCTGCTTCCCCCGCTGGGGCACTTGCTCCCACAGTGTGACCCCCACCTGGTTCTTCACTCGAACATTCTGTTCCAGTTTTGGCTTCTCTCGCTGCTCAGTCCCTGTCTTTGCAGCTGCTCGTCTGGGTTGCTTCTCCCTCTTCCGGAGTCGGGCACCCTCTTGGGGCAACAGAGAGCCTCTGGGGTGGGCGGGAGCTTCGGCTGTCTGGGACAGCTGGACAAGTGTCCCCCGCTCCCCCAGCCCTGTGACTGCCTGCCTTCCCGGGAGCGTGGTCTCTGCAGCTGTCAGCTGGGGAGCGCCTGGGTCTGCACCAGGGGCCTCCGTTTCCCTCCACTCCCACCCAGGGGCTGCAGGTGTCCAGCTGTCCGGCCGGGAGTCCTTCTCGGCCCTGGGAGACTCTTAGAGCTGCTGCTAATTCACCTTCGATGGGTCCCGCGCCCACCACGCAGAGCGCGGCATTCTGACACTCTTCTTAAGATAGCTTCCTGTGCTCTCAGATTACTGCATCTGCAGCAGCTGGAGAATGTCCTTCGAGATCTGCCCCCGTGGCCCGCCCTGAAGAGACTGCTGCTGCTCCTCGGGGCGCCCAGGAACGCCGTAGCCCAGAATTTGCGTTTTGTCCAAGGTAAACTGGCTGGGTCTTACTTGTCGCCGGCTCGCTAGGAGCCCACATGAGACTGATTGAAAAGCAGACTTGAAACTGCCTGATGCCTTTGTTGGGCTCGGACACAGCTGTCACGACATGTTTTATGCGCTGCAGGGTGGCTGGGGGGCGGGCCGGGGGCTTCTCCCCTCTCCGTGGTGGAGTTCTGAGAAGAAAGGAGGATGGATGTCGCTTTTGGAGTGAAGCTCTCCTCTCCCCGCGGTGCCGTCCTCACGCGCCTTGAGGACGTATGAAAGGACAGTGGAATGAATTTTCTGCTTTCCTCTCTCAGGGAGATCATAAAATGTCTAATACCAGGTGCAGTTTGCCGAGCTGCAGGTTTTCTGAATTCCCTGCGCTCATCGCGGCCTCGTGGAGAAGCCGGGTGGGGAGTGGTGTGCTTTAGGGGAAATAGTCATGCGTCCGTTTGTCGACCTTACAGCAGTGCTCACGTGCCCGGAGAGACCAGCTAACAGCTCCACACTGGGCGGACCCGAGCAATTGCACCCAGAAAGGGACGCGTTCCTTCGGTGGAAGCAGGTAAAGCACAGCACAGGGTTCCAAATCAATGCGTTTGAGAAAACGTTCAAGCAGCTCATGCTCTCTTCTGTTTTGCCCCTGCTGTGAGCTGTGCTGGCAAAATGTGCCAGCAAAGAGGACAATTTTCGAAGAGCTTTGTCTTATTTTGGAATTCGGACGACTGCTGGTGTCTGGTTGTTGCTCTCCAGCCCTTGGGGGTCGAGCACAAGCCTCTCTGAGTCACCCCTCCTGCTCCCCTTTGTCTTTCAGGTCTTGGTGAAGAAGGCTATGGACAGGTGCCTAAATGCCAGCTTGTCTGGGAAGGAGGCTCTCCGGTGTCGTGGGAACCCTGGTGCTTGGGAGCGCCTCTGGGCACTGGCGTGTCCCCATGACACCACCAAGAGCAGCGTTTTCAATGAGCTACTGCAGTCAGCGGAGGACTCAGTAAGTAGCCATCTTCTGATCTCGTCCGCTGATGCCAGTGGGCTGATTTTGCAGGTTAGACACCACCCCCCCGCCATGGAAATCCAGCCACCGCTGCTTCATCCCTCCTCTGGCCCCACTCGGAGGCTGCCCATTGCCCATCCGGCCCAAATCTCCTTGACGGCTGTTTTCCCCAAGAGCACCCCGAACTCTCAGACCGCACCTCCCCGCCCCCCTGATTTCCGGGCTCCCCGTCCGCTCCATCCCTGGCCGCAGACGTTGAGAGGCTGGAAGCGTATCTTCGGGCATCGGCCAGCTTGGAGCATAGAGCCACAGCCAGCCCTGCTTCTCTGTGTCCCTGCCCCTTGCTGAGAGCTTGAGAGAGTGGGGAGCCATTTGTTAGTAAAATTCATGATGTCCCCTTCGACCCATATTTTTCTCACCGAGCACTACAAGTGATAGTACCATTCCCCTTTCTGCTGTTCATTTTTTCCTCTGTATGGCGTGTTTCATTTCTTATTTTCTCATGCTGCCTGGTAGGGTTGGGCTGGAAGGGGCACCTGTGCTTCTGGGGTGTGTGTGTGTGTGTGTGTGTGTGTGTGTGTTTTGGTTGGAGGATGCGGGCTATTAATCGTGGAACAGAATCACAGGAGCGTGACTCTGAGGAGGCTGGGTCCCGTGGGGCGACTGGGGGACTAGCCAGCAGAGATGGGCTTCACACCTGTGTCCCTTCGGACACAGCCCCGATTTGGGGGTAAAGAGGCAAGTCCAGGACGGTCCCTCGGGTTACAAAAGCAGGTCCACAGGGCACGGTCTTGGAGTCACAGTTCAAGAGAGCCCTTGGTATGGGAGACGGGACACAGGCTGCTTCCTGGTGCCACCCTGTCCTTGCAAACAACGTGCTCTTCTCCTGTCAAGGATCGCCTTTTGCAAGAAGTCGTCACTGGGTGGACAGATGTGCCAGATTCAGGATCCGAAGGACTTCTGGGCTGGCAGGAAGTGGAAGCGCAGCTGGAGGACGTGGGCCTTTCCTGCAGGCGGCTCTCCCGGTGGCTGGCAGCGGCCGCCTCACCCGGGGACCGCGACCTTGCTGGTGACTGTAAGGACCAGCTTGCAGCAGCACTGTGAGTCTGTGTGCGATGCGGAACTGGTGAACAGTTGGGAACCATCTGCCGAAACATGGATCCACATTGTTTATCCTATTTCTAGTATATTCTGTTGCTGGTATATTCTATTTCTGGGGGGAGGCATAATTTTTCTTTTTCTTTTTTTTTAAATTTTTTAAATTTCTTTTCAGCATAACAGTATTCATTGTTTTTGCACCACACCCAGTGCTCCATGCAAACTGTGCCCTCTCCAATACCCACCACCTGGATCCCCCAACCTCCC